AAATATTAAAAACCATGTAAATTATGTTAAAAAAATCCACAATAGCATTATCAAAATTCTCAATTATGGTTTTACAATATTATTTTCAACGCTTCACAACAGGACTATATATAATAGTCAAAACACATTTATACAATTTTTTTGCTTAAAAGTACTTTTAAATTGTTAAAAGAGTTATGGAGTTTAGTATGTGTTTTCATAATCTTTTTTTTTTCCTCTTTCTTGCAGAATTGCCAATTCCAAATGCTGAAAAATTCAGCATAAAATTGATAGTAAAACAAAATATCAAACATCAATGTCTCAAAAACGTTGAAAAACAAATGCATCATTTTACGATTTTATTTGGAATTTAAATTTTTTTTATAATTACTTTATTTAGAATTAATGACGCAATTGTGTTTTTGTTTTTATTCAATTTATTTTGTTAAGCATTCAAATTAAAAGTTCATATTTAGAATTTAAGTAAAATATCCATTTAAGATATAAACGCTAATTTATAATAATTGTTTTTAACAAAAATTTGAATAAAACATATATAAACATAATATTTTATATTGAAGTTAATTAAAACGTTCTTTTTTTCATTTTTATTTTTATTATTTTATTTAGAACATAAATAAAACACTTATTTGACATTTTTAATTAAATTATTTTATTGAAAATTTAAATAAAACTTTCTTTACTCTGTTTTTATTTTAAATAAAAAGTTTGTTTTGCTGTTTTTTATTTTAACTAGTTTAAAAAGTTATTTATATTATAATAATCATTTGTAAAATTTTCATATAGTTTCGCTTCATTTGAGACCTAAATGATACTCTTTTTAAAAAAACTTTTTTTGATAATATTAGGAACTTGTTATATGTTTAAGGGTTCTTGTCTTGTTATATGTTTAAGGGTTCTTGTCAAGTCCCTTGGGGACCCTTGAAAATATTTTTTATTCAAAAAAATTTTATAACAAGCATTTTTTAATCATATAAAATATTTGCAAATCACCAGTGTCAAAAAAAGATAAGAGGAATTTATTCTTGTGTGCATTTTGAAATCAACTTATTTTGTTTATTTAACAAGTTTTCACCTTTATATGTTAAAATAAGGAACTTTTCGTATAAACAAAGATTGCAAATTTTTTTTATACGAGGTGTTATAAGGATTGAAATGTTTCATAATTTTCCACTTAATTAAGAGTGTAAACATTTTGTCTTTTATGTCCCAAATTTCTTTAGACTCATTATCATTTTTATATTTATTAATATTAAAAGATTTTAGGTGATTAGCATACCGAGATTTGAATGGAGTTTCACATAAATATACTTTTTCTTTGTAGTCAGGTTTATTTGACGACACGGTAGCTTGATAAACGATGTTCTTCTTGATGAACAATCAAGCACTGATTGTTCAAGGGGCAGATGGATTTATCGACACAAATGTTTTCCCCTCATCTTTACCTTGACTATATAATACTCTGTGATTGTGTGAAATAATGATTGACTTGATGTTTGGCATACATGAGTAGCTTATTATAATGGTATTTTGATTAAATATCTTACAAAGTTTGTGATCAACTGGAAAATGTAGGTCTACTAATGTTCAAAAAACGACTGCCTATTTTTGTTGCAACATTAGTACTGAAAAGTGGGTTGTACCAGATTATTTTCGCTTGTGAATTTTGAATAGGATCGGTTTTTTATATGAATGGTAAGCAAACTTGCAGATAAAACTTGATTTAAATAATGCATCTTGATAAGGAGGAATGGATCGTTTAAAAATATTTTTGCTAGAAGAATTGGTTGAAAATCTTAGCTCGATAGTTTGAGGAAGACTTTTTAGTATGCTAGGAGCATAGATCATCCTGGTCATATTTTAAAAATCCGGAAATTGTTTCGGTAAAATAACCAGCAAAAAATCCGGAATACATTTTCCCTTATATCCCCTTGATTTTGATTTTAGCTGAGTTATTACCAATTTTTTTTTTTTTAATTTCATTAATTTTTGAGTATATTTCTTGTATGAGCAATGAGTAAAATTATTAGCTCATATTTCTTGTATGAGCAATGAGTAAAAAAGCTTAAAAGAGAAATATATTACAAAAATATGTACCTAAACTTGTATGTATGGAAAACATTTTGGATATCCGGAAAAACTAAAAAAAAAAAAAAGTTGAGAAAAATATCCGGAAAAAGATAATTCCTGTAGGAGGGTGGTTAGAGTCAGCATTTAAATAAATGCAAATAAATGGAATAACCACACTTGCAGTAAGGTTGGAAAGAACTGTCATTAAGATTTAACATCTTTTTTTGATGCCAGTGATTAGCTAATATTTTGTTTTTTCTTTGGTAACCATCAAGTGTTATGTCTTTTAGCGAATATGTAATGAATTATGTATTTTATATATTAATTACTTTAATATATTATTCACTTTTATTGTGGAATTTTCAATTGTTGTAATAATTCTTAAAATGCCTGCATTCTATTACAATAAGAAACTATAAAACATTTTTAATAAGCAGTAAAGGCCTTTATAGCTCTTTATCACATTTTTATCAAATAAGTAACATTGTTAATAAATAAATAACTAGACTGAAAACCCAAAAACAACACTTGTCTAAAAAAATTTTTCACATCTAAAAAAACAATAAAACTATATTTTTAAAGTCACAGTGGCAAACTTTGCTGCATTTTCTATTATTAATTAGAATATAAGAAAATTGTACAAGCGTTTAAACGTATTTAATAAAATACTTCCTAAATAAAAACCAAAAAATTTTATTGTTTAAACAAAAATTCTATTTAATTTTTATTTTTTTACAATTTTTATAATTTTAGGATTTAGAGATAAAGTAATAGAACTAAATTTGTCAACAAAAAAATTGTTGACAGGTCTTGTTAAGAAGCCTTATGCAGCTTGCTTTTTTGTAAATGTTGAAGAAAACTTTTTTGTAATATATACAGTCGTATGACAATTTATTATGGCCACCTACATTTTTTCTAGAAACTCTAGAAAAATTGTGATTTTCCATCAGTTTTTACAATTTTATCTACCAAAGACATATTCTAATAAAAAATCAGGTTGCATGTTAATAAAAAATTACCATTTTATAAGAATAAATACACTTTAATAAAAAATATTCATATAATATCTTAGTTACAATCAATATTTTGTAACCCCCCCCCTTTTGCATCGATTACTGCCTGTACCCTTTTAAGCATGCTTTTTATGCAGTTTTCTCCCATTTCCTTCAATCTTGCATTGTGGTTCCAATGTTTTATAATACTTTCTATTAGAACCACCTTGTTTGTAATATTTTCCTTGGCCACCTCCTTTTTTAATAGCTTGGCCACCTCCTTTTTTAATTTTTAATCCCAAACATTCTCTATAGGATTGAGATCCGGCGAATTTCCCGGCCAGTCCAACAAAGGAATATTTTTATCTTTCAAAAAGATTTTGATAGGCTTAGCCGTATGGCATGGTGCTCCATCTTGCATGAATGTTTTGTTTTCCTCTGGACCAAACCATTCCGTCAATCGGGGTAACAATCTTTGTTCCAGGACATTTTTATACTGCACCTGGTTCATTATCCCTTGAACAATGTACAGCCTTCCCATTCCTTTCCCACAAATAACCGACCAAATCATCACCGAGGTTGGATGTTTGACAGTTTGAATAATACAGCTTCTTAAATATTTCTCTCCAACCTTCCTTTTCACGTATTGTGCTTTTTTTGATAAGACTTGGAACGTGCTCTCATCACTAAAGCAAACCTAAAAATATTATACGATGGTTCATTGACCACAATGCATGGATTATCTAAAAAATTTAAAGTATTATTTAATAAAATAATCTGTTATACCATTTTCCAATCGTCTTCAGTCCAATTTCTATATTTTTTTGCCCATTCTAATCGCTTTTCCATCATTTTTGGCGTTAATTTTGGCTTTTTAGCCGGACGTCTTGAGCTGTAGCCAAGATCGTGTAGACGACGCTGAACCGTTCTCTTGGACATCTTAATACCAGAGCTCTCCAACTTCTCAGTGATATCATCATTTGATGCTAGCCTATCTTCCAATACTATTTTGGTAAGAATTCTTTCACCTCGTGGAGTAAGAATTCTTTTTTTACCACAGTTCCCAGTCCTTTTTGGAGTTAGGTTTTTCATGTTGACAATTTTTTTTGGATATTTTGCACTGACACTCTAGAAACATTACATCTTCTGGCGATTCCTCTTTGGGAAAAACCAGTATTTGTAAAAAGTGCTTGGAGTTCACTTTTTTTTTCTAGAGATAAGTCCTTTTTTTTGCCCATTTCTAAATAAATAACCAATTTTAGTACGAAAATTTCTATTATTACTTAAAATAATTTTAATCACAAAATACTGAGTGAAATAAAAATATTTTTATGTTAATTTATGTAATGTAATATTCTTAAAGTAATATTAGTCGATTTGAGTACTTACTTTAATGATAACTTTGAAAAATATACCAAAACTAACAGAGAGTATTGACCACGTGCACTGTAAAAATAGCGGTCTCAAGATGGCATCACACAAAATGGCTGTCAAAAATGACAGTGTTTACACTAGCATAAAATTTTAAATAATTTTGTCAACGTATAACTATATTGTATGCATCCAAATAAATTAAATTATATAATTTTGAACTATAATGCCAAGAAAACAAAAGATAAGCAAGGTATGTTAACATTTATTGGGTCGCTAACATTTATTGGGTCGCCATAATAAATTGTCATACGACTGTATATATATATATATATATATATATATATATATATATATATATATATATATATATATATAATTTTTTGTAAAATATATATATATATACATATATATATATATATATATATATATATATATATATATATATATATATATATATACACGCATATATATATATATATATATATACACGCATATATATATATATACACATATATAAATACACACACACATATATATCAACAACTTTAATAAAAAAAATTATACTTGCAACTGATGACTGTGAACAATGTTGTCCATTTCTACAATTCTTTGTGCTTGCACAATACTTCCTATATCTCCTTCTTCTTGCATTTCTTCAAAAACTAAGGAGATTCCTCTAACTTTTAAAATATTTACAATTTCTTGTGGTTCATACACTTTACTAGGTAAAATTATCTCATCTTGTTCACGTTTTAAGAAGTTGAGCTCAGAACTTAATTTAAATTTTCCAAGACCACAAAAACCTTTTAAAACATTTGTAGAAAGGTATACTTGTAAATGATAAAGTGATGGCAGAAGAATATCTAGTGTGACTTCTTTAACATCTTGCAAATGACGCACAACCACTTGTAAATCAAGGTTACGAGCTCCTATTACACCCATTTGAGGATGATACAACTTATATTTGTCAAGCAACCATCGCCCTAATCGTTTGCGTATAATTTCTAAAAGATATTCATCAAAATATTTCACAAAAGCATCATCCCACTGTTTCCTAATTTTTTCTAGATTTTTTTCAAAGTCTTCATGGGAGCAACTATTTAAAAGAACTCTTAAATCCTCAGCTCGATCAGTAATAATTTTTACACACTGATTATTTTTACGAAGCCATGACCTAGCTGTCATTAACACAAGCTCCCAATCATAAACTTGAACAAAATTTGGAAATACTGAATTTAAAGAAGATGTAAAATTATGTTCTTGATTAGTTACAACAGCAGTTTCAATTAATTCTAAAGATGAAATATTTTCAGATATACAGTGCAGAAACTTTTCAAAAATAATGTAATCATCTACACTTTCAGTTACAAGAAATGCCAATGGTATTACTGGCCTATCTGAAAAAGCTGCATGAACAAAATTAAATGCAGTAACAAAAAACTTTCCAACTTTAAATGTTTCATGAAAACTAAAAACTAAAGGACCAGCATTGAGTTTCAGCAAGTTCTCAACCTCAGATGCTATATCACATAATCCTACAATAATTACTAAGTCTGGAAATGAGCGAGTATAATGAAAAAATCCAGGAAGTTCAGTTCCAAGTCTGTATAATGTTGCCATATCTTCATTTGTTGGACGATTTTTTTCGCTTGCTTTTTTTATATTGCGAATGATATTTCTCACTTGAACTTTGTTGCGAGGTATAAGTACAGGATTACTAAACATATTTAAAACATGAGATTCTGAATCATTTAAATTCACTTTTGACTTTTTAGATAAATTAGCACTTCTTCGAACAGAAGGAGCTGTGGTATAATATGGATCATTTGATTTCTTTGTGTTTCCATGAGGATGATCAACCATAACAGTTTCATCTCCAATGTAATGTACTAAAACTGGCTTTGGAACTCGTTGATCTCCTATAAGAGTATACACATGACGTTGGAACTTATTAGTTTTGCCTTCTGGATTTTTACCAACAAAAAACAGTTTTTTAACTAATGGATCACGTTTAGGAATGTCTTTAGAACCATAATTTAACCACCTGTATTGATCTGATTTCCAATTTTCTAGTGAAAAAAAAAACTATTTACTAGATTAGGTTGAAACTATAAATAATGAAATATAAATTATATAGAATAAAATAATTTTATCCATTTTTATCAATTTTATTCTCAACTTTTTTTTTCAATAAAAATTCATAACAAAATATATTGTAATTTAACATTGTAACTTTACATTTTAATATTATTTGTGATTTAATGGTTTCTTAATAAATATTATTACTCTTATATATTTAGATCTATATAAAATACTATTTTATTGCTATTTTTTAAATTTTATATTATTTTTAGATACTTTCACTGGCTTTTTTTTTTTTTAAAAAAAAAACTCTCTCTCTCTCTCTCTCTCTCTCTCTCTCTCTCTCTCTCTCTCTCTCATATATATATATATATATATATATATATATATATATATATATATATATATATATATATATATATATATATATATATATATATATATATATATATATATATATAAATTTTTTATTCTTCATAAAGTTATTCTGTATCAAACGAAAACGATCTGACACAGATAATTTATGATTATTAGTATTTTGGCCGTCAATCAACACAGTTGTATATTATTATCGTGGTGATCTAACTGAAAAAGTTCAACAATCATGGAATACAAATTTATGTGTTTCTGTAGTCAAATGATTCTATAAAATAAAAATTTATAGTTTAAAATTAGCGCAAGTTTTCAAATAACATAAGATACTATTAAGGTCAGGAAAATAATATACTATTTCAGCAAAAAACCATGACCTACCTTGCTCCTCTTGAATGTTTGCCACAAACAGATAAGCATCTCCTGCTTTTGGCTTTGCTGGAGGATAGCTAACGTTTGGATATTGATTAATATTCTCTAAAAATTTCATTACTTCTCCAATATCAAGTTGTTTTTCTGATTTAGTACACACTGAAGTTCCCCAATTTACTTTTTCTTGTGATACATCGTACGCCATTTTCAGTCCTGAAAAATGACGGACCAGAAATACGACTAAAACCCGTAAAAAAACGTGGCCAAAAAAAGAAAGTGACTGTATCAAACATGTGTCTGATAGGTCTTTACGTATCATCAGTTTATAACTGATCGTAAATCAATATTGTATGAATATTATTGAAGGAAAATATTTTGATTGACAATGGTTTTTGTTACTGACATCTTTAAGTAATTTAAGCAATTACAAAAGTACTAATTCAAATATTAAGCAAATACAAAAATATTTAAAAAGTTAATGCAAAAAAGTAATTGATAAGGTTTTGAATATATTTTTTGATAAAATAATAACTAAGTAAATCTTAAATAGTTATTATTTCAAAACATATTAATACTTTTTGATAAATTGTAAATCCTTGATCAAGTTTTCATCTAGTTTAAGATATTATATTTTATATTTGGAAAAACTTTTCCCAATTTAGACGATTGATTTGTTTGGGTATTTTTTTTTTTTTTTTTTTTTTTTTTTGTAGGCTCAAAAAATCAGACTAATTTCTTGATAACAATTTCATGTGACATAAGTTTGAACATATAATGACTTGAGTTTAGAACGTAGGTAAAAGTTACTTTTGCAAATCTCTGCACTCAATAAAAAGTGAGATTTTACCACTATCTTTTTATTTTTTAACATACAACATGTTTAGTACTTGTTTTTAGTACTTGTTTTCAATATTAGCTCATTACTTTCATATTAAATGTGTAAAAAAGCATTTATCAAAAAAAATATGAAATTGAAAAAGGTAATCTACACAAAAATGAAAAACATTAATTATGTTAATTAACGAAAAGATATTTAAAAATAAAAATGAAGTCTTCTTTGCTGCTTATATAAAGAGTAAATGGCTCTAGTCATCCACCACGTTTTTTGAATTGCTCTAGGAGGTCTAATTTAATTTTTTTTTTTTCTCATTATCACCTCCTAATAAAATAACAGATAACTCAATCAGTTTCCGATAATCGTCATGTACAATAGTTTTTTGCAGTTTTCAATTATAAAATGTTAACAATTTTTCAATTGTTGTATTACTAAAAAATATTGGTTGATGATATTGGTGTATGTTTCAAAAGCAGTCGGATTAATAGTTTTTCAGTTGTCTCTAAACTTTTGTGAACATTAAAATATCAGGGCTACTTACGACTTGGTGGATTTTTCTTTTAAACACACACTTTAAAACCAGTTCGTAAACGTGATGGCGACAAGCAAAAAGTAGTAACATCCTGTCTAGTTTTTGTTTCAAAAGTACACAATTTCCTAATGGCCCTGTTTTAGACGTTGTTGTGTCAGAGTACATTATTTGTACTTTGTCCTCAAGTTTTCAATCATAAAGTGCGTTTAACACACCTTGATCTTGGCCGCAAGAGCTCTCCAGTTTGGATACAGTTTGCAATTGTTCTTTTACTCCAAATGAAATTAGATCTGCCAGACGTTCTTCTTTAAAACTTCTTACGCCCATTTCAGGTAATAACTTCCCATATCAGTGAGCGGTCACCATTTCTGGCAAATTATTCTTAGAATCTGATTTTATAGATCCCACTCTATCTTTTCTACTTTATGTGTGAATGCGTTGAATGGAAAATTTGTTTATCGGGAAATCATCACAGCTCAGATCTAGTGCTTCTACTGCAGGCTGAAGTATATAGACAGAATCCTTTATGCATTGACATCTATCTAAAGTTGCAACTAACTTTGGCGTGAAAAAGTTCTTCCTTCCTCTTTTTGTAGTAGTTTCAAAACTTATCATTTGAGAAGTTAATGGTAAGGGTTCCTCAAGGTTTTCATCGGTGCTGGTGTGCTAATCGTGATGTTCCTGCGTATGGTATAGAATCTTGGGTAGTAAAAGATGATGATAAACTCCTATAACACATTTGCTTGTATCTTTTTTTTTTCTTCTTTTAATTTTTTCTGTCTTGCGCTTTCTTTTTTCTCGGCTAATTTTTTGTCAAACATTCAGGACGCCCTGGTTCTATTTATTTTCGAAAAAGTATTTCACCTTCTTCTATTTTTATCTGTTTCAAAGTATCAGCATGTGCTATATCGAATAAATTATTTAAATTGTCCTCATGGCGCTCGGAAACATCTCTCTCCAAGCATGGTGAAGATCTACAAGTTTTTTTACACAGTTAGGCATAGTTCTGCTAGGAATTCTAGCTTTTTTCCAAAATATAATACAGTCTCAAATAACGATATTTGCACTTTCACTAACTGCCAATTTAATTTCGCGAATGTTAAAAAAAAAATAGTGCAAGGACTTGGCTGTTAGATAGTAACTTTGCGCCTGGTTTTTGATAAATTTTGTTTTTTGTAAAGCAAAGGCTGTAACCACTGCACCACGGTTGTACCCACTGCACCACAGCCGCACTTCACCGTAATTCACGTCACCAAATAAGAAAATATTTTTTATATTGCTTTTTAACTCCACTGTCATTTCTTAAATGTAAAACAATATGTGTTAATCACAAAAAAAACTGAATCAGGGTTTTCTAATCTAAGTGCGGATTTGCCTAAAGCGGTTTTTACAATGTTGAAAAATTGATAATAATTATTTATTTATAATTATTGTAAACCGATAATTATTATCTATATATTTATAATTATACTATATAACTATTATCTATACTATTACCAATTATTTTCAAATTAATAAGATAATATTCATCTACTTTCATTTATCAATTTTGCATCATTGTAAAAACCGTATTGAGCATATCTGCCCTTTTAACTAATGACATGAACCCAATGATAAACTAGATGTCTAACTTAGATCCAAAAAGTAAACCTGCTTTCGTCCTTTTAACAAATGGCGGATTAATTTTTTAAACAGATATTTTTTAACTTTTTTTTTCTTAAATGAAGTAAATATATTTTAAATATAAATACTATTTATGTGAAAGTGTTAAGAGGAAATTAGAAAACTTGTAAAATAATAATTTATGCTTCCTAAATTCATTTCCGATTAGAAAGAGATTAAGGTTTTGCTTAGAAAATTGAAACGACAGACGCTTTTGAAGTATTTGAATGAATAATAATACTTTTTAATAAACCTAGGCTCATAAAAACACTTTTATAATTATTTTGTAATTATTAAAAGATGTTTTTGAATTATCTTTAACTTTTTGAGAACTTTTGATGCTCTAAACTTGCATTTTTAACTTTTATTCCCCACACATCGGCTTCAGCTTCGCCCTTTTTACAAATGGCAGACTATATTTATAAACAAAAAAACAAAAAAAAACAAAAACGGCGTCACTTTTTGTCCAATAAAAATCCCGAAAGTTAGACATCTAGGGTGGAATGCAAGAAGCGAACTTGAATAAAGTTCGACTTGAACTTTACATTGCAGCCAATAGCGACATAGTATGGGTTTTCCCATCAAAAAATACTCTGCCGCTATTGGTTACAAAGTAAAGTTCAAGTCGAACTTGACTCAAGTTTGCTTCTTGCATTCCACCCCTAGTTTATATAACATATCGTTAGCGAGCCTTTTAACAAATCATACTAGTAAGTGTAACTACCGCGCAACTTGTATGGACATGATTCGATGCAAATCTGCACAAGTTATCGTACTCCAAATAAGTTAAAAATTTAATTTTGAGTGTTTAAACTAGGGAACGAAAAATCGACCATTTGTGGTTATCGGACTTCTGTGGTGATGGTCGGTTATCAGCTGACCGCAACGGTCGGTGATTGTGGTGCGCGGTGGTGCATTGGTGGTGACAGCGGTTAGAGGTGTGCGGTGATTGTCGGTTAGCGGTTTTCAGACCATCATCGCAGAAGTCCGATCACCGCAAATTTTTAAACATGTCCTAGTTTTTTTCATTGGCAATTACGCGTTGTTGCCTGTTTAACAAAGAAATTTCTTAACCGTTTTCAAGCAATTTTAATCCCATTTACCCCCAAGCTTTTGTCAAATGTTTGAGCCATAAAATGAGCCCTTGACAATATTTTATTACTCAGAGCTGCGTCAATTACCGACTTTCATAAGGGGTGGTTTTGGCGGATGAGACTTCGGAGCCATCTTTATAGGGGATAAATGAACGAAAACAATGTCGATGTCAATTGATACCAGAATGTTTTTACCTTTCTTCTTAGTTAATAAAAATTCTTCTTAGTTAATAAAAAACAATGGTTAATTTTTAAGATAGAAAATAATTGTACAAAAATGAATAATAGACCATTGTTTATCTACAAGTTGCACTTTACACAAGTCATGGATCAGAATAAATAAATTCAAACAGTAACCTTTACTTGCTTAAAAACTAAAGTGAAAGGCAAATAGACGTTTTGTACTTAAAACTTGCTTGGATTCTACAAGTATCTAGTCTCTAACTACCTCTTTAAATTTTTTTTAAATAAAAGAATCAGCGCACCCTTCTATTACTTTATCTATTTTTAAAAAGTATACTTTAAATATAAGAGAATGAAGTTTAGAACAGAAAAATTGACGCAATTATTCAAAATTAAATACAGTTTCGGAACGAAAATTGCCAGAAAAGTTGTGACTGTTTTTTTTAACGAATTTTTTTTTAACCTGGAGTTAACGTTGCTTGTTAGTTATCAAAATCTTATAGAGAACAAATTTATCTTGCTGCAGTTTTGTTTAAAAAAGATTCCACATATATTTTATTTTGAAATGTTGGTTTCAAGAATATTACTTTTAAATTGTTGGTTTCAAAAAAATGTTGATATGTCCTTTCATTGTTATTATTTATAAAAGACTTCCATGAAGAAAAGGAAAAAACATCATGACTTTAAAAATGACATTCTCAAAGTAAAAAAGACAAAATTTCTATGTTTCGCCAAACTAAACTTATTTCAGTACGCCTTGCTGTTACAAAAATGTAGGAAAAATTTCTAAAATAAAGGAAACAAGCTTTCAAATCATATTGGTGCAATGTTTTGTTTTCACGTGTAAAATTTTCATCACTATCTCAGCTATCCCTTTACAAAAATTTTTTGTAAAGGAATAGCTATCGTTTTTGCTGAATGCATCTTTATATTGTTAAAGGAAACCGAATCTATAATACTAACTTAATCAGATCACAAAACATTTACCACAATAAGTAATATTATTTGATAAATGGAAGGAAAATTTTATACTGTTCCTAAAAATAACATAGTTAATAGCATAATATTTATTTCCAAAAAAAAAATTAACTGCTACAAAATGTATTTAAAAAATTGTTTTACTAAAATTATTATATAAATAATAACAAGGAGTGTGTTGAAGCAAAGAAAACAATTTTTTACCTTTAGAATCCTATTTACGATATTTAGTAACATATACAAAGAGATTTAACAGAAATAATTGTAAACTTTGAGAATATATACGCTGCTGTAACACACTACTTTTCACTATCTGATATTAAATAATATAGATATAGAAATATTGCTGAAAAAAAGACAACTTCCATATGCTTAAATACAATTATGTATTAAATAACATAATACTTTTCTTGTTTGTGTATTCTCGTAATGACAAAAATCAAGAGTGTTGAAATTAAAAATTGCAAATTGAACCTTAAATTGTATACAGTCTATATCTTTATCTATATCTATATCTATAAATTGTGTACTATCTATATGCATATCAGTTTGAGGATGTTCATTCTTGAAAAATATTTGCGGAAATCTTTTTTAATAAACAGGATAATCAATGAAGGCCAGCTTTTTTAAAAAGTGTCACAAAATGCTATTCATACAACGAAAAATATTACAAATGCTTTTAGAAACTAGTAAAATATAACCCATAAAACGTAAAATATTACATATGCTTTTGGAAACTAGTAAAATATAACCCAAATATTACATATGCTTTTGGAAACTAGTAAAATATAACCCATAACTACCAATGCATTAAGACAAATTAAAAAAATATATATTTAGTTATTTTATCTAAAGCTCAATAACCAGTGCTTTTACAATTTTAATACACACTAGTAAATATGGAGTTGTAATATCAAATAATATATTGTACATTCCAATAGATAAAAGGTATTTTAATTATGAAGGATTATTTTATTAATGGTTAGTGTATTAGTGACTTTGTAATAATAATTGATTTTTAAATTTTTGAGAACTTTTACTTATATATTTAGAATTATATTTTATTTTTTGATTGTATTTCTGCATTAGCTTTTTCAAGTCTTTTATTTAATGGTTTATTGTTCTATAATAAAGAAAATAACATAAATTATTAAATAAAATAAAAAACATATTTTTTTATCTATTATATTAGGATTTTGAAATTATTCTTCAAGTAGGAAACTTTTGAGATGATATGAAATAATAGCATGAGTTTCTTGACAACTTATATTGTTAACAATATCTAGTGTTGTTTTATATTATTATTTTCATCTATCGGAAGTTATTGGTTCTTTACTCTGTTTAAATCCAACTTACCACTTTTTGCATTAACTTTTATGAATACTATACTGTATTACTAAGACGGTGGGCTAACACAAGTTAATGAGTTGAACTGTTGTCTCCATAAAAAATGTATCCGTTCGTCCGATATATGGAAATTAAGAAGAGACTAAAACAAAGTATTATTCCATATTACTTTATTTAAGTTCTATCTCCTTTTTTTTGTATTAACTTTGTTATAACATAAATATAAAGAACAAAACCACTTAATAGTGTTAATATCTTTGTAATACTAGTTATTTCAACAAAAAATATCCAATATTCGTCTCTTAAAGTCGTTTACAAAAATTAAAACAACGAAAAACTGCTTATAATTAAACAAAACTGCCATTTTGTTCATTTATCCCCTAATAAAAAGTCATATACTAAACCCCCACACTGTGAAAGTCCCTAATAGTAGCAAAGCATTTCAAGACACTGAAAAAAGAATTTAATAAAACAGGTATTAATGAAAACTCTTCATTTTATTTGAGAAACCTTTGATGCAGTTGGCTTCTCTGGTCGTAAAGGTGCTTGAAAATGGTTGGTCATAATGAAAAAAATCATTTATAAAGTTGGAAATTATGCTGCATATTATTTTTTAAATCAAAAAACATTTGTTCAAAGATTGGTGCCTAAGTGATCCAAACGATACCTTTATGCAATTTTTCCATGATTGAATATAAACAACTTGAGCAGTGGCTCACCAACGCGCATGTTCCCGCCATTAAAAAATTTCAGTTAATTAGGGTGGAATGCAAGAAGCAAACTTGAGTCAAGTCGACTTGAACTTTACTTTGTAACCAATAGCGACAGAGTATTTTTTGAGGGGAAAACCCATACTATGTCGCTATTGGTTGCAATGTAAAGTTCAAGTCAAGCTTAAATCAAGTTCGCTTCTTGCATTCCACCCTTAGTGTAATCTAAAGTTTAATGGATCGAAAGTATACTATCAACTGCGTATTTGGAGATATCTAAGTGACAGTGATCTTGAACCGTTTTATTGTGGATGGAAATTAAACGGTATTATCTACTTACCAATAGCAAAGGACAGCGGATATCCTGATGTATTTCATAAAAATATATTATAAAAAATATTTAAAATTTACCTGATAAAACGCAAAAAAATGTATTTTCGCGCTTTACCGCGTAGACTTCGTGAAAAACCCCCCTCCAAGTAAAAAAAAACAACAACAATCATTTATTCATGTGTGTGTGTGTGTGTGTGTGTGTGTGTGTGTGTGTGTGTGTGTGTGTGTGTGTGTGTGTGTGTGTGTGTGTGTGCCTCTCTCTATATATATATATATACATACATATATATATATATATATATATATATATATATATATATATATATATATATATATATATATATATATATATATATATATATATATATATATATATATATTTAGCTGGTAAATTATTTTTTTAAAGAAATAATAAGCTTTCCAATGATAACACTTCTTTATAATAATTTTTTCCTGGTTGAGACTAAATTCTATAGGATAACATGGAAAACAAACTTAATTGAGTGCATTAAAAAAAATCAGTCTTTTTTTATTTTAAAACTAATGTAAGTTTTCGAAGAAACTTCCTTTCAGACATTCTATGAAAAGAAAACAAATAAAGTTTTTTTAATATATTAGCGATATGTTATAAAAATTTTGTTTTACGTTAATAAGAAGCCATCCCTGTTCATTATGTGGCCCTTAAATTTACAATTGATTTTCTTGAAATGTTAAGAACAAGAAATTTTAATACTTTTCAAAGATTTTCATTTATATTAAATTAGTTAAACGCGTAGATTAAATTATATTCAAAGGTTAGTTTATGGAAAACCTTTTTTCAAAAAACAAATTAAAATTTCAAAAAAGTATTGAAATTTCTGTTACTCATCTTAAGTCATTTACTATTAAACATTAGCCCATAACAAAATAAAATTTACATGAAAAATTATTTAAATAAAACCTTTTTACATGTATATATATATATATATATATATATATATATATATATATATATATATATATATATATATACAATATATGAATAAAGTATATAGTACACTAATTAAATGAGTCAAAATAATTATTTATAACAATGAAAACATATTTCTTTCACATATGGCATAACATAGCAACAACAAAAAATTACAAGCGCATTAACTATTTTTTTCATAAAATAAAAAAATTAAAAAATCTATTAAAAATTCAACAAAAATATCAGATTGAAAAAAAATATATTAGATTGAAAAAGTTTAAGATGGAAAACAGATAATTTTTAATTAAAGTTCTAAATTGAATAAGTTATAGTCAATCCAACTATACTTTATTTGAATTTTATTAGGAAATCTATTTAAAAATTAGTTGAAATATAAATCATAATGCTACCTAACTCTTGGACGAATTTGTTGAGATTTCTCCCACATTTCCTCCTCTTCCATGTGTTCCTCATACTCATTGAAAAAATCTAAAATCTTTTCATCTCTAGAAAAATCATACAAATTTTCCTTAAACCTACGAACAGTATCAAGAATATTATACTGCTGCCACCGCTTTACAAAGTTTACTTTTCCATCAGGAAGGTCTTGAGGGTTACCTAAGTGAATAAATGTGATATCAGTAAGTATTAATCCTAAGTATGGTATGCAAGGCGGTTTTGCTTCACTAAGAGCTTTGCGATAAGTTTTAAATGCTGAAGTGCTATCAATAAGTTTTGTATCTTCGGCTAAAAGTTCAATATATTGCTTTGGCCATTCTAAACGTCTTAATGGAGATGAATCTAACGCAGAAAGTATAGCAAGAAATGCACTAAAATTATTAAGTCTTTTGAGTATTCTCATAATCTTCAAAAATTTTTTGAAAATTTTTTCACGCTCTTGCTGTCTTTGTTCATTTAAAATCAAAGTTCGAACCCAAAATGACATTCTATTAAAATGTCCAATGAAGCGACATAGATTAGGACTTAATGTTTCGCTTTGTTCCTTACCCCAACGAAGAACTTCAGGCAACTCGATTTTAATAAAATAATCAGCATCTAATACACACATCTGTTGAGCTAAAAGAAAACTTTTAAAATCAAATAGTTCTGAATCACTTTTTCTCGGAATATATATAGGCATATGATTAACTTGGAGTTTTATACAGTAGTTTACTATTTTGTCCCGTAAGTCTTTAGCTAACTTTAGTTGTCCAAGATTTAACAACCTATGAACAACAGATCGAAGCTGATCAAACAAAGATTTATCAAGTTCTTCATACATCTCCTCCATGACTTTTACTAATAGCCTAAGAACTGATTTTGAAGTTTCCTCGTTACCTTTGTCTTGGAAACGGTTTGCTCGATACAAAAGCTTGCAAATTAGTTCTGTTGGAGATACAAATGTTCTATATGTAGCTAAAAATGCACGATAAAATAACATATCTTCAACTTGAGTACTATACACAATTAAAGCATCAACAGTGCCACCACATAATAAAGGCCCATTTTCTTCTTCTTTAAACACAAGAAACTTAGATACATCATGACAATCTAAGGCAGGTATATTATCTTCATCATATACGGCAGAAGATTCACGAATACTGTGCCTTTGTCTTTTTAAAGTACCCTCATTAGTACGAAAAGCTTGAGGTGGTTCTACACAATTCCTATAAGTTCCCTTTTTAGGAGGTAACTTTGGCAAACCATCTCCTTTTATAAACTGATCCTCTGTGATGTTATGCACATTAGGCACAGGTAAGTTATCATAATATGAAGAGGGTCTTTCATTGTAGTCAATAACATCATAACCTTTAACAAATGTTAAATAGCTATCTGCAGTATGCTTGGTTTTTTTTTTCGGCAATGCAGGTGGAATAGAATCGTCACTTGTATCTAATGAATCATTATTATCATCCTCATCATTAAATAGAGAAAGAGTACTTTTAGCTAATATCTCATATCGAGATGAATATTTATGTATTTTTTTTACTAAATTAGAACTCATTGAAATTTCATCTTTATTAATGCTATCATTCATTTCAATTTTGTTAAAAGCCTCTAGTCGACGATTCATCGCATAATCTTCATCAGTTGTGTCATATTTATTATTTTTACTAGGACTACCTAGTGAACTATTTGATGTAGTGGAAATTGATGATTTACTACTTTTGCAACTTGAACTTTTATTATTTGCAGAATACCTCCTACCATAATCTAAAATTTGTAACTCTGATAATGGTCTTCCACTTACCTGATTTAAATCATCTTTAAAACTAGAGATTTCATCAGGTTGACTAATGGCTTTTCTTAATTGTGTGTTGTCATAATTTCCATAAAAATTTCTATTGCCATTAGGGAGATATGGTTTTGGTGGTGGATCACCTTTTTTTTCCGGCATTTTTAATGAAGGACCAAAGTGATTAATCGATAAGTCATTATCAGAAAAAGCAGAATCATCAACATTGTCTTTTTCAGGTATATTATCCAAAGCATCTAATGAGCTATGAGAACTTGTACCACAATGCATAAGCTCTTCATTTAATGAAGACTTTCTAATTTTAGGTAATACAAATTCATACAAACACTCCAAAGAAGTTAAAACATTGTCAGCTGCTTTATTAGCTGATTCTGTATCAATATTTATATGGGTATAAGATTCAAAAAGTACATTATCAGACAATCTTATCAAAGCAGTAATACTCCTGTAAAGTGAAACTTTTAAAGGGGAAACTTTATTTTTTTCTGGTTCAAATTCTTTTAGCCTAAAGAGTACTTCTAAACAGCTTTCAATAGTGTTTTCTGCATTGATAATACTTTCCAAGATAGCAGTTGCAGTACCGGGTAACTTTTGCACAACTCCCCTTTTCAAAATAGCTTTGTAATATGTCAAAGCACTGTTGACGTCCTTTTTATATTGTAATAGAAGGGTTTCTTGAGTTTTTGCTTCTTTTTTAGATTCAATAACTTCAAACTCGTCATGATTTCCTTTATCAAATTCATTGTCACCTAACGATGTTTTCCTATTTTTTCCGATCTTTTTAATAAAAGCCTGCATGCGCTTAACTTTTCCATCAACATGAACTAAATTTACTTTTAAATGATCAGTACTGCGATTTGTTGAAGATAAATCCTGTTTATTATTTGAAATCATAACTTTCACACAAGCGCATCAAACATATTTTTCATTGCTGAAGATTTAAAACGATGAATGAATTAAATATACCTACTGAAATTATTAATTTAAAAAAATTCACAACTTCTTATTATTTCACTTTTTCTAACTTAAGTATTAATGTCGCACTTTATCTATAGAAATTAAAAACAAAATAATATTGAAGCGCTCGAAAATAAACCGAACAAATGATCATATCCATAAAGCAACTTCGTATCGTCTTTTTACAAGTACTTTTATCCTAATATATTGATTTAAAGTTAGTAGAATTTAAAAAATGTTTGTTTCCTATTCTTATACTAACTACGCCAGAATTAGTATGTTGACAATAATTAGACTTTTGTATTACGTTTGGTATTTAAAAAAAATAATTTTTCAATCTTCCTATTGATATTGATATCATTAGAAAAAAAAAAATGATTAATTGAACCTAATCTTAGTTAAACAATTCATTGAAGAAACCGTCATGTTTAATTCTGCAAAAAGATTTTTGTATTTAATACAATTAAAAACCATTTATGGTCGGTCAATATATATAATATAATAAGCATTTTTAAGCATTTTTTTTAGGTTTCTTTTTTGATGTTGTTGTTTAATTTGTGAACTAAAATGATTAAATAATGTATTAGATCGCAATCACGTGCTGCACTTGTTATTATTCGTTTATTTGTTGTATATTTTATTATTTTTTTAGTGTTAATATATTTACAAAAAATGTAAAAATAAGAATAAAAATTTAAAAAGTTTGTTATAAATAGATGATAAAAAATAATAACTTTAAATGATTTTTTTTTTCAAGAATAAGTGAAGTTATAAGCTTTTTTTTAGCATTCCAATATATAGTTTTAAAGCTAGTAGAAAAATGTTATTTCAGAAAACTTCAACTCTCCCATTATAATTATATTTTACTTTTTTCATCTTTTACTTTTATTATAGATTGCCAGTGACGTGGCGTGGTGAAGTGAAGTGTTCCTACAGGCAAAACGAATTGGCAGGGTTTTTGAAAAATATATTCTTATAATGACGTCATTTTAAGAATTGAAAAAAAGAAAAACATATGTAACATAAAACACATGCCATATAAGCTTCATTTTTTATTTCACCTCTTTTGTAAAGAAAAAATGGCTAGAAGTGTTTTTCTGGTAGAAACCACAGAATATGTTTAAAATTCCACATAAATGTAAATACAAAGTATTACAATCTAAACAAGTATCAAATTTATCACAATCTAGCTAGCGGTGGGTGCAGCGTTTTTTGGCCTTTGAGATGTCAAACTTCCAGACATGGAGCAAATTCCAAATATTAATGTGTTTATACTTATATAAAATAAGAATGCTTCGAAAAAAATTGCAATGATTGGAGTCTGGGAACAAAAACGCCCCAAAATTATTGCCTCCCTGCTCCAAACGTGGGAGCAACAAATGGTTAAAATATTTTTGTACTATTCTTAACTAGATTTATATTCACCGATAAATTTTAAATTTCATATTATAATATTTCTGTGTTCAAAAATTATAACCATATAAAGTTTGAACCTCCCTCAATTTACAAATTTTATATGGTCATAATTTTTGAACGCAGAGACTGAGTTGAACGAATACAAGTCTAATTGAGAATATTACAACAATTGATTTCAGTGACGGATCCAACAATTTTTGGTGGTGGTGGTGATGGGGATATGATGAAATATTTTTGTATTATGTACCACATTGGCGTCTCCTAAAAAAAAGAAGGTCCTTAATTTCTAAGATATTTTAGGACTTTCAGATTCTGGTGTGTGTGTGTGTGTGTGGGGGGGGGGGAATACATACCTCATCCGCCCCCTGAATCCATCACTGATTATTTTATTAACTTGTTTCTCTCATTTTTGGGGCAGAGAGGGGCAAAAATTTGGGGTTTATTTTTGTTCCCAGCTCCAATCAATGCAATTTTTTGCAAAGTATCTTTATTTGATATAATTATAAACTTACAAACGTTTGGAGTTTGCTCTAAGTTTGGAAGTTAGCTATCTCAATAACCAAAAAATGCTGGATCCACCCCTGATTCTGGCCATGTATAAGTATTATCCTTGTTGATGTAGTTAAAACCAAATTCATTTAAAATGCATAATTTACTTTTTTCGCGTTTTCGAACATTGACGCTGTCATCATTTAATTAATATTCATACAATTAAAATTAAAATATTTTGGATGCAAGATATTTTTGTTAACTTCTGCGTTTAAATATAAAAAATGGTTATCAAAAAATATGTATTCATATTATGTTTTAATAAATATTTGTTACATTATTATATTTATTAAAGCCACATTGCAAAAATAAGACGTCTCAGAGCACCGTTGAAGAGCATTTAGGACGTCTCAAAGCACCGTTGAAGAGCATTTAGGAGGTATTTTATGCCTGTATATGTATATTTAATATATACGTTTTTATTTGTTTTGTTTTTTCTACTTTTCAAAAGTTTAAAGGTTAAATGCTATATAAGATATTTGTGCACTTTTCCATAAAATGACATGCAACAAGAAAAACGTCATACTGCATAATTTAATGTTTAGAAACAAGAAGGACATATCTTAAATTGTTATTACGAATCATTTGTTTATCACATCAGTAAGTAAACAGTAATGCTCAGTAATAAAATACACAGCGAATATATTACGTAGTTCTTGAGACAACAAAGTTTACTTAATACAATGTAAATAGCAAACTTTGTTATGAGAAAAAAAAAAATTATTTTATTCGACTAATTATTTTATTTTTATTTTTATTGTTTATTTTTATAATTATTCAAATTTCTGTAGAAATTCTATTAGAAAATAGAATTTCTATTGAAATAATTCTTATAGACCATGTTTTAAAAATGTTTCAAAAGTGTGTAAAAATAACAGAACCTTTTTTCTAAATGGAGTGTGCTTATTACTTACCTTGTTATATCTGCTAACTCTTTTTCCCACCAAATATCCTAATTCTGATAGATGCAAACTGTTTATTGAAATTTTCTTAATTTATTTAGTTATTGAATCGTTTATTTAAGGAAAATACTTTTATTTTATTTCTAAAGCGATTGAATGTTTTTTTGTACAAATATTTTATATGTATATATATATATATATATATATATATATATATATATATATATATATATATATATATATATATATATATATATATATATATATATATATATATACATTGTAAAAATCATTTCTAATAATATTTACATATTTATATGACAGTTATTTAATGAAAATTACAGTATTGTAAAAACAATTCACGTCATTTATATTATTTTTAATAATTGCAACAAAGTGTAATCTGTTCTTTACTAATACAATATAATTATAATTATAAGTATATCATTTACTAATACCTATTTAACTGCGTTTAAGTAAAATAAGAAAAAAAAATTAACCGCAAAGATATAGAATATTGTTATAAACTTTGGTATATTAAAACAAATATCTTGTGGACTCAAGTGCCCCGAACGTGGAAATAAATTTAGTTAAAAATATTATTAAAAACAAGAATAGTTTTTGCTAACTTAATATTGCTGCGCTGCCTATCGAGCAATGGAAACTCATCTTAATTTTGTACCAAAAGTCTTCCTTAATCAATTAAACTATTACTACTATTTACCTAATATTTATATTGTAAATACCTAATATTTATATTGATTTTTTAAAATATTGCGCCAATATTATCCATTATCGTTTTACTGATATTGTTATGCCAATATTGGCAAAATATTGGACCAATAATATCCCATTATCGATTTACTGCCAATATTGGCGAAATATTGTTTGGCAATATTAACTTTTACATATTGGTACGCATGCGTAACATTAAGGAATATTCATCATGTCCTTTAGTTTTGTTAAATGTGTTTAAATGTAAATAATAGCATCTTTTTACATAAACAGGCATCCTTATGTTATTAATTATGTTATAAATTAAACTCCAAATTTTTGTATTTTATACTTTAGCCATTTAAGGATGATTTTCCAAAAATTGCGTTGATTAGATCCTGGGAACAAAAAAACCCTTAAAAGTAGGTATCACCCGCTCAAATGTGCGGGAATTGGTTTTTTCTAAATAAAAATTCTTATATTCTAAATTAGGTGGTAATATCGTTAAGGTTCTAAATTTTTTTTGAAGAATATTATGTTGTTTAGAAATTATTCCCAGTTTAAATGTACAACCCTCTCGTTTTGAGGGGGCTCTAAACTTTAAATGACTATAACTTTTGAACGCTAGATGATTTTTTGATTAAACTTTAAATATAGATAGACATTTGAATTTTATTAAAGAAAGTAACTTTTTTTTTTCGAAAACTCATTTCCTCTCTCATTTGGGCGGATGATGAAAACTCATTTCCCCTCTCTTTTGGGCGGGTGATGAGCCTGGGAAGAAAAATACCCTAAATAGTAGGCTATTTAGGGTATTTTTCTTCCCAGGCTCTAATCAACGCAATTTTCTGAAAAGTATTCTTAAATAGTTGAGCAGCCTTAGCGCAGTGGTTAGAGTTCTGGCTCAGAACCCAAAGGTCAGAGGTTCGACGCCAGCTCTAGCCCAATAAGCGAAATTGGTACGGAAGGAGGCGTGAACTTCCTGTTAAATACTCTCCCGCGGTGCTCTATGATAAGACCGTAAGAACTTCTGGGAGCACCTAAATACATACAAAAAAAAAACAAACATAAGTATGAGCATAAAAAAAGTTTGGAGTTTAGAACTTACCTGAAAGTTATTTAACTCAAGCACCGAAAAATCCTGAATCCGCCTTTTAAGTACCACATTTGCTACCCAACAATTCTGGAAGAATTATTTGTAAACAATGAATTTGCAACAAATACTTGTTGTGAATTTATTGAAAAAGTTTCCCAGATCTTCTTAAAGAATTTACCAGACCTTCTTCAAGCTTAGGTTTATATTTTTATGTAATTATGAAAAATGTTAATGCGAAATATAATGCGAAAAATAATGATGAAAAACAACAATATAAAAAAATAAACAAAGATAAAAAAAAAAAAAAAGAATAGAAAAAGAATGTTGCCAGAAATGTAATGCGAATAATTTTGATAACTTTGCTGCGTATACAACGCAGCAAAGTTATCAAAATATGACTTCAACGCCACAGCAAAGTTATCAAAAAAAGACTTCAAGAAAATGCAATAAATATTCTTGTCTTGTGGCCGGGTATTTTATCCAATTTAAATCCCATCAAAAACTGTTAGCTCACTAGCAGATCTAAGAAAAGCCAAAATGAAAGCGCGGTGTTATAAAATAACGTTC